TCTTTAGTGGCAATGTTCCCCCTTGCATCCACTAGAGGATAGAGGTTCTCCCTGGCTCTCTTCTTGCTATTAACTTATTTATAAATATTTATAAACATTTTTATAAATGTTTATAAATTTATAAAACAAAAATTTATAAAATTTATAAATTATATAAATATAAATATTTATAAATATATATATTTATAAATAACGTATTTATAAAAACTTTTCAAGTAGAGCTGCAAAGAATAAAACTCTCAGAGGTGTATCTGAAACTACTCAGGCACGTCATCAGCTAGGAAAGAGCAGGAAGCCCCTTCTTACTCAATTAGTCGTGCTGAAACCAGGATCACAGGAAAGAGGTCTTGAACTCCAAAGCAATCGATTCGAGGCAGCTATTTATGTCTTTATAATAGCCTGAGATGGAAGCTACTGTTTTTGTGGTGGTAGAGTGAAAACATAAGCCTTCTGAAATACATCCTTCTTCCCTCCCTGCTAAAAGATGACAGCAGAAAAAAAATAAATGTGTGCATGTAAAAAAGGTGTAGTATATGTTTATTTAAAATAAGTACTCAGACAGAAGGACAACGATAACACATGGAGAATTCAGTCAGATTCTTGCTCCAAGTTATCTTTCCCTCACAAAGAGCAATACAAGCTGGATTAGACTTGCTATTTGGCAATGTAAACATCGCAAAAAGAGTATGCATTTCCATTAGGAGGTACTTCGTTACATTTTAATTCTTGGCTCACCTCATGTTACGTGATGTGATGTAGTTACAATATGACTATGAAGTTGGAGCAATATTCACAGAAGTTGGACCGTGTTCAAATACGTTATTTTTTGTAATAAAACCAACCCAAGCCTACCCACGTGTAACAGGTGAACCATCCTTAGATTAGCTGATTAAGGTTTCAACTGTAAAAGGAATTCTTTTGCCTTTTTCAGCATCAGTCTCCTAGCTTACGCTTTTTATTTCATTTTGAACCATAAAAATCAGTCTATTACATGAGATAATGGATCACAAAGTTGAAGCCATCCACCTCATTTTCTCTGAAGTTATAGTTCAAAAAGGTAGATGCTGAGATAGCATTATACCGAGATCCAAGAGTCTCAGTGTTTAAATTACTACTAAAAAAATTGTAGAAGGTTCAAAAGGTGCTGTGGGTTGACCCCAGCCAGCAGCCAAGCACCTACATGGCTGCTCACTCTCTCTCCCCTCCATCCCCAGCAGGACAGGGGAGAGAAGAAGAACAAAAGCAAGAAAACTCACAGGTTGAGTTAAAGGCAGTTTAATAAGGGGAGGAAAAAACCAAACCACCAAGTGATGCAAAGGTGATCACTTGCTACCTCTCACAGGCAGACCGATGCCCAGCCAGTCTGCAAACAACAGCCACCTTGGAAGCCAAACCTCACATACACCTTCTTCCTCTACCCCGTTTTTATTGCTGAGTGTGACATTATCCCACATGGAATAGCCCTTCGGCTTGTTCAGGTCAGATGTCCCAGCAGTGTCCTCGCCAAACTCCTGCCCAGCCCAACCTACTTGCTGGGAAAAGAAAAAGCCTTGACCCTGTGCAGGCACTGCTCAGCAACAGCCAAAACACTGGTGTTATCGACACTGTTTTAGTCACAAATCTGAAACACAGCACCCTATGGGATACTGTGAGGAAAGTTAGCTCCGTCTCAGCTAGACCCAATACAGAAAGAAACCCTGAGAATTCAGCTATTAATCTACATGAGATGTATCGTATCACAGCTCACTATCTGGAAGCCCCAAATCAAAAGCAAGTCATCTACTGTAAAATGCTTTCAGCACGAGACAGTGTGCCAAATTTATCAAACCCGAAAGCAGTCCACTACTCTTCACATTTGCAGTAGTGGCTTTGACCAGTGTATTTATAAAACAAGTAAGCGGTCAGGCCTTCCCCAAACATATAGCTTTGTATGTGAGCTTGTGGGACTTGTGTCCATGTTATTAAAATCCATCTGTTTTTCTCCTACAGTTTGGGTATTGTTATTTACTGTTTACTCCCAGCAGGGTGTAAGCAGTATTGTACAGTAGATATGCATAAATAGAATCATAAATAAAAAAGCTAACAAGGTGCTCAGAAAAGGCAGCACAACAACTTTGCCACTGCGCGTGAGAACTCGTTATCAGTTTATGATGCTTCCTTACTCTAGTTCTGCGGTGGAGGGGAATAAATATACAACATTAGAAGCTGCAGTTCCCATGCATCTCTTCTCCTGCCCATAAGTAAATACCCTGGGAGCGGAGAGCAGAAGTGATGGTCTGTGGAAGTCAGCAACGTCTCTTCACAGAACATGAGAGCACGCTGGTGTTTGTAGGAATGATGGTTCATCAGATCCGAAATATCTCAAACAAGGCCACCCTCAAAGACAGTAGTTTTTGTTTACCTGCCATGAAACTCACTTCTGTTGAGGGTAAAGGTGTCAAGCACCACAGATGTTTAACACATTGAAAGCCTTCAGGAGTTGAGAGTGTAAACAGTGCATAGCTTTCTGGCACTTTCAGAAGTTTAAAGGCAAATATAGTCCCTCACTACCTCTTCAGGAAACTACTCCTCACATCCAGAAAGTAATACAGGAGGGCCAGTAGGAAGGTCTCCATAAATAAAACTAAAAAGGCCACTGGAGACTAAGACTGCCCACAAAAATTAACCTGTAGCACTGAGAAGTATTTAACAATTCAGTTTTACATGTAAAGGCCACTCCTGCAGAGTGGTAAGGCTCTGCTGGTGCAGGTCAGGACTCGCAGTTCTGCATCCCCGGAGCCGCTTTGAGGCTCCATCCCCGGAGCCAGAGCCCTCTCAGCAACTCAAGCGCTTCTCTCCATGCAGCAAGAGCTTTCTAGGAAAGACTGGGCTCACTTACAAACGGATTTGAACATGAACTAAGCAAGGTTATTTGCCCAGGGTTTTACTGCTCACTGAAGAGATCTGTCATAAATTTGAGAGGCTAAGGCACAACAAAAGAGTGTGATCAAGGCCGTGATTTTCCATATCCAATTTAAATTAACACAAACCAAGAAGGCTCCACTTCCAAGTTAGCCGAAGCCACTTTAAGGCATATGGGGGGCACAGTGAACACTGGTAACAGCAGCTGTCAAATCTAAACATGACTAGATTTCTTTCTTTCTAATACATGCAGGTGACCCAAATTTGTGTTCTGGGACACTGGTGAACTAAAAAAACCAAAACCAAAACCACCAAAACCCGTATTTGAGGTATTGGAACTTTTACAGCTTGTGCACAGCTCTACCGCTTGCCACAGGCCTCGATGCAGATGTCCCAAAACCACCAGAATCGCTCAGGCTCTGCCCTGGATGGAGGTTTCTTGGGCAGGCTTCGCTCCCTTGAAAACGAGCAGCAGCAAAAGCAGCAGCCCTAGCTCCCCTTTCCTCTCTCCCGCCTTCCCCGCAGCAGGTCAGGCTAGCAGCAAACAGGGATATTCTCTGTTCCACCATGCTACACAGCAAGCAAGCTCACTTCTAAATATATCCACATAGAAGTTTCTAAACTGCAAAATAAATACAGTTGCTACTGTAAGTTATGCAGAAAAAAAGTAGGTTATACCTAATATTTCATGGTAATTGTAGTGTTATTTAACTTTTTTCCTTGTCCTCGGTGTAGCAGGTACTAGAGGCCCATTTGAATGAAGTTAAGACTTCCACAGAAAGTAACAAATAAGTTTACTTTCTGGGTTTTTTACTCCCCGTCATAACAAAATAGTGATCATCTTGCCTGCTTTTTGTAAGAGGACCTTTTGATACACCAGGCGTTCCTTTGCTACACGCCGTTGCTGATTTTCCCTTGGGGAGGGGCTTCTTGGCTGCTGGGGCCAAGCTTTCATTTGCTTGCAAGCTTTTGGTTGAAGGCTGACTTTTTGTGGAAGGCTGCGCTGGCTTTTTGGTCGCTTCTGCTTTGACTGAAGTTTGAGGAAGGCGTACAGCAGATAAGGGAGTGCGTTCAGGAGGTTTGGATGAAGCAGGTCCAACCTGAGGGTGTTTACTGACATTTGGCTGCTTAGTGACAGCTGAAGATACGTTTTTGCTTGTAGATAACAGTGTAGGTGGTGACTTCAATGCTTTGCCAACTGCAAGGGAAGGTGCAGAAGCTGAGTGTTTTAGGACCGAAGCATTTTTCAGGTTCCTTGCCAAGTCAGAAGCTGTTTGTGGAGCTTTCTGAGGATGCTGAGACCCAGTTCTTGAGGTCTGAATAGTATTTTCAGCAGGCGGTTTTACAAGGAGCTGCTGAGAATGTGCAAACTTGGCAACAGCACGCAGATTTGTAACAGGCGGCCGGGCAGCCCTTGGAACAACCGAATTCTCTTTGGTTTTAGTGACAGCTACAGGTTCGAATTTAGTGGCGACATGCTTCTGTTTCGAAGCTGTCGTTTCAGCTGCCCCAGGCAAGTGAGACAGCTGTTTTTCAGAGGAGAGGACAGGATGCAGCACTGGTGCCGGGGAGCTCCGAGCCAGGGCAAATTTCACCTTGGGAGCATCAGGGGACCGAATACGTTTGCGCAACATTTCGGAGTGAACAAGAGCCGTTCTCGTTCTTGCAGATGAAGAGCTTTTGCTTACAGGCTGCGAAGGACCAGAAGCTGGCGAGTCGTGTGCTGGGGACTCCAGTTTCTTTGAGGTGCCAGCTACCGGTTTGAAAGGAGACTGCACGCCTGTCACTGAAGACCCTTGTAATTTGGACCTTACTGGCAATGACTTGGCTGTGGAGGATGGGGGCAGTGGCACTTTTGGTGATGCCAGGGCAGGGGACTGAGGACGTTTAGATAAAGCCTTCTTGGCACTGGCCCCGAGACCTGAAACAGGAGTAGGGGGTTTTGATAGTTGCTTTTGAAACATACTGACAGCTGACATTGGATTCATGACAGGGGGCTCCTGAATTCTAGCTGATGAGCTGGGGACACTGTCACTGGTGACCCCTTTCTGAAACGCCAGGATTTTTTGTTCCAGAGTTGCAAACTGAAGCACTCGGCATGGATCATATTTAAGCAGAAAACCTTGAAGGGTGTCCCAGCCTCCACCAACACGTACCATCACATGCTTGCCATGTAGCATCTGAGAATGAGGGAAGAAGAACAAGAGAAACTTCTGTCTTGTTTTATGCAGCACTATGTCTTCATCTTGCATTAAAAACTATTTAAATTGACTAAAAACATGAATGC